AATGGCCAAGATCCCTGCCCACTCGCCCTGCTTGCCTATATGCCAGTGCAGCGTGTGGGCAGCCTCCCTTCAGCCTGTGACCGGGACCCAGAGGCTGAACCCAGCCCGATACAGTTGAGCCCCGGGGCAATGCAGTTGCGCCTCCTTCATCAAGGCCTGCGGCCAGATTCAGACAGTGGGCCGATTTCCCTTTGGCATTTTCGGCCTCTATACCCAGCATGCATTGTCGGCCTCACATTCGAGTGCCCAGGGCCTAACTAACTCAGAGGCCCTGGGCATTTCAGCATTTGCTGAAATCCGAGACTCGGTGCACTCCAACCAACTGGCGTGCTGCAACTGTATGGACCCCACTTCGTGAAATGTTGGCACAGAGGGCTCTTGTTGATTTGATGGCCCGCCTTCACTTAGGGCGGGCACGAGGCTTGCTGGGGCCTTTGCCCAGAACATGTACATCATGGCAAGGCCCCTACTTGAGGGCTCAATCCTCACATTTTTTTGTTCTTTTTTTTTTTTTTTAACGCCTTGGAATTTTGTTATAATTGGGCCCCGTGCTGAAGGCTATACATGCAGCAAAACCTTGTCCAAATCCAGCAGAGGTATCTGGGCTCGACCCTACCTCGAGGTCAAGCCTCGCCCCTGTGTAAACAAGACGGCAAAGCAACGCAAAAAATAATTCCTAACAAATTCCTAAATTCCCAAACTACTGAGTCAGAAAAAAAATCCAATTTCTTCGGGACTGGCTTGGGGGAACTGCAGGAGGGGGTTTGGGTGAGGTGAAATGGCCAGGGGAGGAAGGGTCCGGAAGTCTGCTCAAACTAGACTTCCAGCTCATCTTCCGGGAATGGTTCACACTTCAACCAGGCGTTATTCTCAGATCTCCACAATGTTTTTCAGATCCTTTCCCTCCATCTGAGCTCGCTTTGGTTGCCATGCAATGGTTTGGATTGGGAGAGGAGGAGTAAGTTGTATTTTCTGTTGATTTTCGGGGAAGGGAAGCTAACTTGCAGGGTTAAAGCTGGCGGTCCTTTTTGGCCGAAGAGGTATTTCCTCCCCTATTTTCTGTTGGTATTTCATATGCTCAATTTACAATTTGTATTCCATGGGATGCTGGACCTGATTTCCAGCAGGTGCCACTCCCCACCAATAGATTGGAGTCTCTGGTAGGGCAAGTAGGAGTGTTTGATCATATCATCACTTCTAATTGTTCCTACTAGGTGTTTAAAAAAAAAAAAAAGAAAGGAAAGAAAAGAAAAAATTCCTAAATTCCAAAACGCACCCGCTGTTTTGAACAAGTCGTTCGTCCGCTCCTACACCTCTACTTCCACCAGTCCGCTCTGCCACCCGCTCAGCAGGGGTTCGCACCTACAAGCCCCCAAATCAACAATCCACACCTTTTCTTACTTTTGTTTTTTCTAATTATACAACAGCCTGGCGGCTGCCTCGATTGAATACAACGCAGCTTGGTACGATTGTGTACAAAACTTCCCATTCTTTTGTAGTTGTGAGGACTGTGCCCTCAGGGGCCCTTAGACAACATGCGTATCTTCTGACTGTGGCCCCCAGCAAGCCTCGTGCCCGCCCTAAGTGAAGGCGGGCCTGAATATCCACGAGAGGCCCTTATCTCAGCATTTTCCAATGCGGGTCTCAGACAGTTGCTGCATGACAGTTGGTTGGAGTGCAACCTGGGCCTCACCCTGGGCTCTTCCAGAAGAAGCAGCTGCGCCAGGCAGTTGAGCCCAGGACGCAGGTGGTTGCGCCCTGGGCGCATGCAGTGTGAGGCCGACACATCACGAAGTGGCCACGGACCAACGAGAAAGCAGCATTGTCGTCGTATCTACCCCGTGTCCCAGTGCAAATGCAGCAAACATTCGGAGCCTGGAAAATTCTGGGTGTGCCCAACTGAAAAGGGCCCAGGCCCTCAACTATCGAAATGGGCCTGGGCACAGACACTGGGGCCCGACCGGAAGCTACTGGAAACTTCCACGCCCAGGCCTAGACAGTCCAGCAGCAGCAAACTCTCCCATATAGGGAGGAGGCTGGCCAGTGTCTGGCATTCTGGCCTAGGCAGGCAATGCAGACACGCTGCTGCGCTCACACACAAGTGTCTGTGTTGCGCATCTGCTGGCTGGGGCGCGCGCGGGCGCTGCTGGGCAGCGGGGCGCTAGCAGCCATAGCCGGGCTGCAGGCTGCGAGGGCAGAGGAGGGCGACAGGGGTCTTCGGGAGGAGGTGAAGAAGTGGGTGGACAGGGGGTGATGAGGGAGACGAGAGTACGTACCTGGTGTATGTGGGAGGTCGGCATTGGTGTTGACGACATGTACATTGGTCTTCAAAGTCGAAGTGGGCCTGTTGCATGAACGTAGGTAGGCTAGGTAACAAGTAGAGTAGGCTGGGCGCTGGGCGCCAGACAAGAGGAGCGACATTGAACACTGCGTTGGTGTGGCCTGAGGGCTTGAACATTGGCTCACGAGTTCATTGCATTGCTCTTATTTGGATGGGATCTTGCTGCATTTGAGCTCACTGCTTGTGACATGACTATCTGGACTTCTGTGTGATTTTGCAACTTGGTTTTCTGTATCGCTCTCGCTCATATTCATTGCATAGTTTTTACTAACTTTTTAGTTGCTTTTATATTTTTACGGGCCCATCACATGGCGGCTGCAGTGGCAGAGCTGTGCCATATCCTGGAGTGTGGTCCCATCAGCAACGAGGATTGGATTTAATGCCTGAATCTGGATGTCTTCGGAGAGGGGTGCACAAAAGTGCGACTGATCTGCTTTTCTGCATCTCGACGTCAATGGCATCTACCTTCAGACTCTTAATCCAGTCGTCTTTGTCAATGGGACCTCTCCCCTCAGGTTAATGCAATGGCACCCCTCAAGGTGGTATTTCAACAAACAAAAAAAAGAGAAAACTACGGTGGAGTCAGGGTTTGAGTTTGAAAATGCACTTCAGGCAAAAGGCCTGAACATTTCGAATGTGAGAGGAATGAGTCCTCGTGGGGCCCTTATCAGACATACAAGTGTTCTGGGCAGCGGCCCCTAGCAAGCCTGTGTCCGCCCTAAGTGAAGGGGGCCCTGAATATCCATGAGGGGCCTGTTTTCGACATATTTCTATATGTGGGGATTCAGACAGTTGCAGCACGCAGTTGGTTACAGAGCAACATGAGTCTCCAGGCTCCTTCCAGAAGGAACGGCTGCTCTGTACAGTTGAGCCCAGGGTTCAGGTGGTTGCGCCCTGGGCACACGCTGTGTGAGGCCGACACATCATGGACTGGCCACGGGCCAATGAGAGAGCAGCATTGTCATCACACATGAGCGGGGAGCCAATTAGAATGCTGCGAACACTTGGAGGCTGTGTGGCTGCCTGAACGTGCCTAACTGCACGAGTCCCAGGCCAGTATCTGAAACTGGGCCTGGGCGCAGACACTTGGGGCCAGAGGCAAGCTACTGGGCCCCCCACATGCCTGGCCAGGCCAGCCAGCCGCGGGCACATTTTCGATATAGGAAAGTGTGTGCCCCAAGGAGCGTTGTTCTGGACGTGGCAGGCAATGCGGACACGCTGCTGGTCGGGAGCGCGCAAGGGCGCAGTGGGGAGAGGGGCGCTGCTGGGCAGCAGGCGCACAGCAGCCTTAGCCAGGCAGCTGGGGCGCGGGCAGGTCATGGCGATGGTGGCCTTTGGGTAGGAGGTGCATGCAGAGAGGGGAGTCAAGGTGTTGAGGGGAGGTGAGAGAGCACGCGCCTGGTGTATGCTGGCGGTTGGCGTTGGCGATGAAGTCAACGTACATTGGTCTTCAACTGCGATGTGATCTGGGTGCAAGAACGTAGATAGGATGGTTAGGCTGAGTAAACTAGGCTGGGCGCCGAGCGCCAGACAGGAGGAGGGACAGTGGATACTATGTTGGTGTGACCAGAGTGTGGTGACATTGACATCAGAGTTCATTGTATTGCTCTTATTAGAATGGTATCTTGGTGCATTGTGCTCTCTTCTTGGTACACGACTATCTGAGCTTCTTTGTGATTTTGCAACTTGGTTTCTGTCTATCGCTCCCGCTCATAATCCTTGCAGAATGTATACAACCTAGGTTTCGGGTCCGCTAGGGTCACATGGGTGTGTGTTATATTTGGGGCAATGCCTGAATTGCATTTTCGAACTGTTTTCTTGACTGCCGGTAGTTACACGCTCCCCCTCCCAAAAAAAAAAAAAAAGAAAAAAAAAAGAAAAAGAGCAGTGACATTTGTGCGCCTAAAGGTAGTAAGAGAGCCTTCAAGATTGAGGCTTTGCTGTGTACATGACTCCTCCCTATCCTTTTCTCGCAGCCGCTGATGTCATAGCATTCCAGAAAAGGAAGGGTTCTTTCTTTCTAGGCTCACTTGTACATCCAGAAAAGGACTATTAAATATTATTCGCACTTTTCTGATGAAAACATACAAAGGGAACAGTACAAGTTGATTGGTCAATTGGTAATATATTTCGGTTCTGTTAAAAGTTAAAACAAAAACAAGAAAAAGGGAACAGTACAAAAAAGGAAAGCAAAGAAATCTTCAACTAGGGAAAGGCGTACCTTTTTTTCTTCTTTTTTTGTTTTGTTTGTTTTTGTTTTTGTTTTTGTTTTTGTTTTTGTTTTTGTTTTTGTTTTTGTTTTTTAATTTCTGTTTTTAATATCTTGTGGCCTGATGGATCATGCATCAGATATTAAACTGATCAGAACAGATATACTAAACTTGGCCTATTTTTAGCCCAAAGGCCGAGAAAGGATGCTTTTTTTTCCATCCATTTGGCTACATTAGATCAAGTGTAGTAGTATCTTTTCTTATCAGATTGATATCTGATCCATGGAAAAAGGAAGTTGGATGGGCCGGAGGGAAGGACTTCTTAAGCTCATTGAATGTTTCATTGTTTCTCCTTATTTTGCAGGTTATTAAAAAAAAAAAAAGAGGACAACAATGTAGGCTGATACTTTTCATTTTCATGTTGATTGCAATGCGCGTGACCTGCATAGATCGTTGCTCAGGTCGAGATGGAGGAGAGGATGGAATACCAGAGAAAGAGGTATGTACTATGTACTATGTACTATGTAATGTGTACCATGTACTATGTACTCAGTGTGTAGTGTGAAGTTGTGAGAGAAAGAGTTGTGTACCACTATGTACCATGTACTATGCATTATGTACTATAGTACTATATACTATGTACTATGTACTATAGTACATTATGTACTATATACTATGTACTATATACTATGTACTATATACTACGTACTATATACTATGTACTACTATGTACTATGTATTACTATGTACTATGTACTATGTAGTGTGAAGTGAGATAAGAGGTATGTACCACTATGTACCATGTACTATGTACTATGTATGTACTATGTATTATGTAATATTTAGTATCTATGCACTATGTATGTACTATGTATGCACTACATATGTACTATGTAGTATGTATGTAGTATGTATGTAGTACTATGTACTATATAGTATGTACTATTATGTATGTAGTACTATGTACTATATAGTATGTACTATGTAGTGTGAAGTGAGGGAAGAGGTATGTACCACTATGTACCATGTACTATGCATTATGTACGATATGTACTATGTATGTACTATTTATTTACTACATATGTACTATGTAGTATGTATGTATTATGTATGTATTATGTATGTAGTATGTACTATATATGTACTATGTAGTATGTACTACGTACTATGTACAAAGAGTTGTGTACCATACTGTATAATATATAATATGTAGTATGTAGTGTGAAGTCATGAGCATTTCTCTGTACAGTACCACATATGATATACTATGTACTATGTTGTGTGAAGTTCTGAACATTCTTTGTAGTGTGTATTATATACTATGTACTATGTATGCACTATGTACTAGCATTATATACTATGCAGTATGCACTATGTAGAAAGTGGTGTGTAGTACTTTGTACCATGTACTGTACACTATATACAATGTAGTATGTACTGTGAAGTCATGAGCATTTCTTTGTACGGTACCATGTACTATGTACTATGTAGTGTGAAGTTGTGAACATTCTTTGTATTGTGTACTATGTTCTATGTGCTACGTCCTATGTAGCGTGAATTTGTGAACGATTCCCTGTACTATGTATACAATTCCCTGTACTATATGCTATGTGGTGTGAATGTGGTGTGAATTTGTGAACACTTCTTGTTTTCTAGAAAACGCGAGAAGAAACAGAAAGAGTGCACCAGTGGTCATCATCTTTCCAGTCATGTGGTCTGCACAAAGAATGATGTTTTTTTTTCCTAACAAGAAAGTTGAAGAAATTTTTTATTGTATTGAAACAGAGTCAACCAACCTTTTGTCTACGAGACAATGCATAGGGTGTTAAAAAAAAAAAAAAAAAAGGGTGGGCTTTGGTTCCAATATTGTATGGTGGGGCCAGGTGGGCTTTGGTTCCAAAATGGTAGGGTGGGCTTTAGTTCCAATGCCGTAGGGTGGGCTTCGGTTCCAATGTCCTAAAATGGGTAGGAGCACTTATCTAGGAATGGCAAGGACAAGTAGTGGTTACTTTTTTTTTCTTTTTTTTTTTTAATAACCAGAATTCAAACTATTGACGGGGGTGGGTCTTCGTGTTTTTAGTAATTGTAAATGGCTGCCCCTCCTCCCCATTCCAAATCTCATGCTCACTACGACAGAGTTGCCCTAAAAATAAGAAAAGAAGGGTATCCCCTGGAGTGAGGCCGACTAACTTGTGTCGGGTCCACCCCCATTTCTGAAGCCAGCTCATGTACTGTCAGACTGAGAGGCTAAGTCGTGAATATAGCCTATAGTACCTATACTGTATTCTTTGGAGCCCGCGGCGCCTCTGGACCGAAGTGGCAGGTGGCATCATAAAAAACAAAACAAAAAAGGTCGCGTTGGCGCTTCGGCAAAGCTTGGCATGCCTGTCTACCTTGCCTCGACGAAAAGAGGCTCGGAGGTAGTGGTGGTTTAAGAGAACCTGAAGGGCATTTACAGACTCATAATAGTTCTTTTGAGTCTCTAATAACTTAGTAATAAGTTAATAACTCTTTCTTTAGGGACTGAGAATAACTATTAGAGATTGAAGAGAAGTCATGTGCCAAATCAAAACCTTTAGCACGAAGGATTTCTTTGATGGAAAGTTCTGAAAAAGGTTTATGTGATCGAATTTTGACATTATGTTCATTGGTACTTCTAAGTGTGATTGGCACTTCTGTTTTTTTCCTTTTAATTTAGAAGAACGGCGACGGCCTTGAGATATCATCGCGAAACTTACCGGTCCTATGTAAATTCAGAAATTTTGTTCATCTATATCATCCAGGATTCAAACTCGGCGCTGTATTTCAAGTTTCGAAAGTTAATGGGTGAAGGTGTACCATTTGAGCTAGGCCTGCTGGTTTTGATTGGTACTTCCCATTTCGAATCGCGCTTGCAAGGCAAAAAAAAAAAAAAGGGTGACGCTTGCACAGGTCCCCGGTATAGGCATAGCAGTAGCGGTAGGTAGGTACTGAAAACAGTGAAAAGTGAATTGAGAGAAGAATATAACTTGGTTACAAAAARAAAAGCATCTTCAAAAAAAAAAAAAAAAAAAAAAAAAAAARMAWMAWGAACAGTGGGGGTGCCATTGTGCAACCTTGTCCTTTCTTTTTTTCCCCCCTTCTTTTGTAAATGGCAAGTTCGACAAATTTGTCCACGCACACCCTAACTGTTTGTGACTCAAAATTAGTACGTATTAAATTACTATTAATGAACGTAGTCAGATGACGTAAGGCTTTTTAATGCGTTTCTGGTGAACAGATCCCTCTGTGTGAATCCCCAAAAATAGACTGGAGCTTTTTTCATACGAATCAAAAAAACAAAAACAAAAAAGTTTATATCGTACTCGTCCTAGAGAAATGCGGTGTGCTGCGTCCAATGTGGTGTACAAGGAACTGGTGCTGGACACAAAAAATACAGAAATATTTACAAAAGAATTAAAAAATAGGAAAAATCGCCCAAAATCATATTCTTTAATTTCTTATCAGTTCATCAAATGAAAATTTGGGATAGCGTCACTTACTAGATAACTCATTAGGGGAAAAAACTTCAAAAAAGAAAAAAAATGGGTAAAAGAAGGGTTGTTTTGCTAGGCGGTCACCCATTCGGGGGCAAACGAAGAAGGCAAAATACCAAGGAACTGTCATTTCATGGAGTGTGCTTCTTAATATGTGCATATAAATTGATATAATGTTTTTTTTATTATTTTAATCATTGTTGTCAACTAATCATTCTCGTTTTTTTATTTTGTTTTGCTTCTTGTTTTTTTATTTTGTTTTGCTTCTTGTGTTTTTATTTTGTTTTGCTTCTTGTTTTTTTATTTTGTTTTGCTTCTTGTTTTTTACTCAATAGGGAGAAACAGGAGGAGGTGCGAAAGTTCATTGAGTTTTACCTGGAGCAGCGTGAGGCACGACGAGAAGCAGAGGTCAGCTGACTAGTATCGCAAGGGTGTTGGCTTCAAGATAAAATAAAATAAAAAACGCTTCATGTATTCTTCATTCTTTTTCATGATGATTAATGAGACATTAAAACTTTATATTACGGTTATAATGAATAAATTGAAATCAGTCTTGCAAATTCACACTCAAACATGCATGCAGCAGATGAGAATAACTTGGCGCTGTGCACCCAACTCAAACTCGGAGATATGGTAGCTTGCAACTCAACTCAAATCCAAGTTCACTTC